GACTCTCGTCTTCAAGGGCCACTCCTTCCTGTGCCTGGCTGTCTCACAAAGCAGCACAAGAAGACACTCTTGCTAGCTCAGCAGACCTTCTTTGCTCAGGCCCTGCAGGCGGCTTCCCCTCAGCTCTAGGATGGGAGAAGGAAGGAGAGAAAGATCCTCAAGCCACCATGGTCCACCTGAGCCACCAGGAGGAGTTAGGAGGTGAAGCACCACAGTCCTTCTGTCCCCCTCTCCTCAGCTTATCAAGGCTGGAGACCCCCTTCACAGACAGCAGCTCATCGGCAACAAGAAAGATGAGCTAGAGACAAACTCCTTGTATCTGACTTTCTTCTCCCCTCACAGCACGGGGCGAGTCATGATGCCCAGGACCAGAAAACAGCAGCAGCAGCAGCAGCAGCAGCAGCAGCAGCACAGCGAAGACAAGCCGTGGAAGCCACACTGAAACTGTCCCTTTTTCCAGCTCTCCAAATGTCAGAGCGCACTTCACATGCAATTACCCTCCAGTAAAGAAAGATGTACTTCAGCAGGCTACTGGATGGCGTCTACCACACACAGCACACAGGCAAGCCTGCAGCTGCTGGAACAAACACCCTGCTCTTCTCGTACCCTCACCCACTCCAAACAGTGCCCAGTGCTGGCTTTCCTTCCAGGCCCACCCTCACCTCTGGGAGAAATGAAGCAAGAAGGAGCAGCTTCGCCATCACAACCCCCAGAGGCCACAGCTAACTTTACAAATTTGAATCGGTACATTTCATGCAGACTTGGACTAATCCCCCTGAAAACAAACAGGCCACCACAGCACACAAATTACATTGTATATTTAATAGCACAGCGAAGTCAAGTTTCTACACCTATACCACTCATCTGTTTCCCTGATGACAGAGCAGGAGAGAGGGGATTAAAACGCAAGCGTGTGGGGAGACCTTCCTGACCACACTCGCCCACAAGGCAGCAGAGGTACTCACAGAGAGGCAAGGGCTCTGCTGAGGGATATAGATATGGTGTCTGCAGAGAAAGGGAGATCTCCCTTCTCCTTCCAGGCAAACATAGATTCATTTTAACACAGGTCCCAACTGCAGGATGGAGGGGTCCAGAAAACCAAAGACCTATGTGTATGTGTGCTCCCAGAATGGCAGAACATTTACCTGAGGAAGCCCAAGCCTCTCACATGTAGCCTTCACTTACTATGCCCTATATCAACTCTGGACACCAGGAGTATTTCTGGGTTCCCACAGAGACTTTCAAGGGGCCTGAGCCTGGAGTTATAGATGGTGATAAGCTACCATGGGGTGCTGGGACTGGACCTGGGTCCTCTGGAAGAGCAGCCAGTGCTCTTAACTACAAGGCTATCTCTCCAACCCACTTTTAATGGGGAATGAAGTCTTATAAATAGTTTTGTAGGTCTAGATGTAGTGGTGCATGCCTTTAATCCCAGCACTTGAGAGAGAGATCGAAGCAAGTGGATCTCTGTGAGTTTGAAGCCAGCCAGAACTACATAGTGAGACCCTATCTTGAAAACACCAAAAATAAAAATTGAAAAAAAAAGAGTTTTGTATTGTTCTTGAGTATTTACTAACTTCATTCAGATAGAAATAACTCTTTTGTTTTTCTTTTTTTTTTTTTTTTTTTGGTTTTTCAAGACAGGGTTTCTCTGTGTAGCTTTGCACCTTTTCCTGGAACTCACTTGGTAGCCCAGGCTGGCCTTGAACTCACAGAGATCCGCCTGGCTCTGTCTCCCGAGTGCTGGGATTAAAGGCGTGAGCCACCAACGCCCGGCTAAAAAATAACTCTTAAGTAGCAATAAAATATATTAATCTGTATTAACTCATAGAAAAGCATTCAGAGCCTCTTTCCACCATTTTTCCATGAAGTCACCATGGTGCACATAAGTGTCCCAGCTGATGCTCTCAAGAGCATTAACGATGCTGAGAAGCAAACACCAGGATCTCATCAGGCCCTGCTTCAAAGTCATTGTTCAGTTCCTAACTGTGATGATAAAGCATGGTTACATCGGTGATCTGACCTCCACATGTACACTACGGCACAAGTACACTGGAGCACACGGATGCACTCACACAAACAAATAAATGAAATACATATACATTTATATATATCCAAGAGTCTGCTGCCTGCATGGTGGCATACATCTTTAATCCTAGACCTGGGAGGCACATGTAGGCAGAGCTCTGTGAGCTCCAGGCCAACCAGGGCTACATGGTAAGACCCTGTCTCAAAAAATAAAACAAACATAAACAGAGTTCAAGACATCACCTGTGAAATTAAGGAAAAAGCCATATCAAATAACTTCACAGTCGACACTCAACAGTCAGCCAACAAAGGGCAAAAGAATCATCCAGGACTAAGAAAATAGACCCAGACAACTGAAGAAGAATATGAAGACAGCACAAAGGGACACAAAGGGACCGTGCAGAGGGTCTGCACAGAGAACAGCTGGCTAGCACTGACTAACTGCTACAAGTTTGGGGCTCACACCACAGGAAGACTAACATTACAAGTCATGTCCTTGCCCTGGAAAAACCTCAAACTCAGTTTACTATGCTCCCAAATGCCTCCTAATGAGGAAGGTAAATCCCACTCTCAACTTCCCTTATTGACACCCTCTGCAGTAGGTGTTATGTGGTCTTTTTTGTTGAGAAGTAACCCAATATTCTCTAGAGGATGTAGCTCGAGTAGAAGTCTACATGTTGGGGGAAGGGGACAGCCTAGCCATACTCTTTGGCCTCAGGGAACATGTAGCAAGTACATGGCCCATCTCTAGGCAGAGTCCCTTCTACCAACAACCCACTTCAGCCTCCTGAAGCCAGCCAAAGCCCCCAAGTGACCTCTAAGACGAAGTCCCCAGCACACCTGTCACCTCCCACTCGCCTCCCTTTAGTCCCCACACAAATCCAGCCCACAGACATGCGTGCCTGGCTAGTGAGCTTTCAGAAGGTGCATTAGGAAAAACTGCAGAGGAGACAAAGCTGGCCAGTCCTGTTCTTCCACCCAGAGCTCCCACACTTAGCTCCCCAACTCCCCGCTAGTCTTCCCTTTCCTCTTTCCTAAGATGCTGGAATGATTTGTTCTGAAAAGCGACAGGTTTATAGGTTAGCCGACACCTCTGCTCTGTGGAATTTTAATTAACTTCTCCCATCGTCAATATGCTAAGGAATGGGGTCTCCACTCTCTGGGGTCAGCAATGTGTTTCAGGCCCTGCTATATCAGCCGTCAAATTGAAGAATTAATGACGTGGCTAATCGGCTCTAATTCTTAGGAAGGAAAAAAATTGAAAGGGAGTTGTGGAAGAGAGCAAGAGGAAGGTGCAGGCTCCGCGAGGTCCGAAGAAAGAGGCTGAAGTGGCTGAGCCAAGGGCACCAACTTGCTTAGAAAAACAAGTGACTGACTTAATCAGGTGGTGGAAGCAGGCAGCCCTATAGCTTTCCCAAGTCCACTCAGGTGGGGTGAGAGGCATCAAGGAAGTGCACACAGACAGATCCTCCTCCCAACTTCCATTACAGTTCAACCTTAGGAGAGTGTCTAACCCACTGGGGAGGAGAGCGAGCCTGCCTTGGTTCAAGACAGCCTAGACAGGTGCTAGAGCACTGGCTTGTCAGCTAAGAGCCCTCCCCACCTGCTCTTCCCGAGGACCTCGGTTTGATTCTCAGCACCCACATAGTGGCTCATAACCATCCATGACTCCACTCCCAGGAGATCCAACACCCTCTTCTGGCCCCTGGGGGTACTGTACATATGTGATGACGCACAGAGATACACACAAACAAAACACCATACATACAAAATAATAAAATGCTTTTTTTTAAGCCTAGGTAAAAGCACATGATATATCTGAAATTGTTTACATAAAACTTATATTATGTACAATGAATATAAGTCAATAAAATGTTTTTAATAATAATATAACCAATCTGGAACTACAATTACAGATCATTAGAACTCACTACGTAGCAGGAAAATCACTAACTAGCTCATGGCCAGTCTGAGCTACATAGTGAGTTCTAAACCAGCCTCTGCTACACAGCAAGACTTGGGTGGTTTTTTGTTTGTTTGTTTGTTTTTTGTTTTGTTTTTGTTTTTTGTTTTTTTTTAAAAAAAAAAAAAGGTACAGGGCTGGAGAGATGGCTCAGCAATTAAGAGCACTGGCTGCTCTTCCAGAGGACCTGGGTTTGATTCCTGGCACCCACACAGTGGCTCACAATAATCTGTAACTGCAGCTCCAGATACAACACCCTCTTGTGGTCTCCATGGGCACCAGACACACCAGTGGTACACAAACTACCATACACATAAAATAATAAAACAGAGTTGCGGGCTGGAGAGATAGCTCAGAGGTTAAGATCTCCAACTTCAGAGATCCTGAGTTCAATTCCCAGCACCCACATGGTGGCTCACAACCATCTGTAATGAGATCTGGCGCCCTCTTCTGTGTACATAATAAATAAATAAATCTTTAAAAAAAAAAAACAAAACAGAGTTGCACCTCCACTACAATTATCACTGTTTCTGTTCCTCTACATATACAGATGAGGGCCCAGTTGGCAGGCCCCAAACCTCTCCTGCTCTCCTGATACCCAGAGCCTGTAAGGGATACTCCAGGAGAATTTTCAGGGAACAAAACAGAGGTGAGTCACGACAGCAGGCTAGCCGCTGCTGTAGACTCTCAGGTATACTGAGAAGCCTCTGCTTTAGAAAAACCCCACAGGACATCTGCTCAGAAAGGTAACACTGACCCCTCAGTCACATTCCAGTGTAGAATCCTGGCCTTAACATTTCTCATCAGCTGCTTAGGAAAGGTTATCTCAATTCCACAAGTATGTGAAAAGACCTTCAGACCTCAAGTCTCTGGAGAATGTTTAACTCTCCAGGAGAGTGGTTCATTGCAACCTGGAATAGACAGACTAGTGGAAATTTCTCTAGCTTATCTGACCTAATAAAATGAAAACATTCTTGTGTGCGACAGAAACCCAACATGTCTCCCTTACCTGAGTAATGGGCTGATAGCAATGGACCAGACTCGGTCTTCAGTCTGGATGGTGTGTGAGCACTGCCCCAGGCGGCCCGAGGCCAAAGGCCATACCTGGAAAGAGAAGAGGAAGCGCTCCTGTTGGCATTGCCTGGGATTAGAAGAAAGGGATGTACAGCAGGTGGGGGAGTGTGACTAGGGAGGTGGAAGGAGAACCCTTTCCGTCCTGTAGACAGGACACAGGCTGTCAGCAGATCCCAGCCTCTAGTCCACCTGCCACAGGACAGCCGAACCACTCACCTGTACTTCCACCCGAGAGCCCTTAATTCCTAATCAGCTCTCTACCAGACAATGAGAAGTCACACACACACACACACACACACACACACACACACACACACACACACACCCGTGTGAAATCCACCTAAGAAAGGGTAGATGGAAGCGGCCCGCCTCTCTCTCTCTCTGAAACTTCCTGTGTCTGCGGATCTTCCTTTCTCTATCTTTCCCCAAAACTTTAGGCATACAGGGAGAGACCAGGGATCAAAGTTCAATCTGGGGAGACGTGTGCACTGTTAGACGAGGGGGGGGGGGAGGCTGCAAATCAGGAAAGAATGGAGAGACTTCAAAGTGACAAGGGGCTTGTTGTTGTTTGTTTGCTCATAATGCCCAGGATCCAAAGCTAGTCATGCCAGCAGGGAATTTAGCACCTAATGTCACCAAAAGGAGCAAAAAAGCTTAACTCTTTTAAGCTTCCATATCTCCGCAGGTTAAAAATATTGCTTGGAGCACACTATCTGGTCCCTATCAGTCAGGAATGTACATTAGCAGCCACTCTGGGCTTAACTCTAATCAACACTCCCTCCCAGAGCCTCTCAGCAGACAGTGCATTTAGAAATCTCCCATTAAGCACAAGGCTCCCCTCACCTCGCCCTACCCCAGATGACACACACAGGGACATAAGCCTCTAACCAAACAGAAAGGAAACCTCCAATGTACAGGGCTCTCCCCGGAGCAGCCACAGAGGGATCCCATGGCAGTTAGATGGATCAATGACCTCTCAAGGTCCCCGCAGAGCTATAAGGGGAACACACCAAACTCAGGCAGGACCTTAGATGGAAGAACTTAAGAAAACATTCCTTCAGTGTAAGGGGCAGGTGATAGAATGGGGGTGGTCTTGCCTTCTTAGGGTCACATGGTATCTCTTCCCTATAAAAGGAGAAAGTGTTTCTTAGGTCTCTGGGTATGATGGAGTGGGGGATGGGACAATAGCAGGAGTCACATCTCCCAAAACTAAGAAAAGAAATTTAACAAGAATATCCTGGGGCTGGAGAGATGGCTCAGAGGTTAAGAGTACTGACTGTTCTTCCAGAGGTCCTGAGTTCAATTCCCAGCACCCACATGGTGGCTCACAACCATCTGTAATGAAATCTGGCGCCCTCTTCTGTGTACATAATAAAAAAAAAAAAAAAAAAAAAGAAAAAGAATATCCTGGAGGAGGAGGAGAACACAAACACAAACACAAAACAAAACCTCAATATTCCCTGTAAGGCTGGTACTCGGGCATCTGCTCTGTATCTGCCAGTCAAATCCTTTGGTAATAACTAGATGCCCTTTGGTTTCTTCCTTTAGACTGCCCACCTTGGAAGAGATCTTTGCCTTTTCCTTATCGGAACTCCCTCAGAGGCAGGTTCTTACTTGCAGGGTGAAGGGGGTACTCCTGATTTTCAAAATCTCTGGGGATAGCCTAAACCTCAGTTTACTGGTCGCTTCCACGGAGACAGCTGGCAGAACCTGGGAGCCAACAAACCATGGGACAAGGCTACAGATCTGTGGGAGTGACTCCAGAAATGTACTGCCAGTTCCAAGCATCATTCAGGAAGTGGCCAGTCTGTCCCATAGCACAGCATCCTCTGGTAACAAGAGGGACAGAGGTGGACACAATAAAGATCTGGTCAGATCTTTGCTATCAATGCAAAACAGACCCACCCTGGAAAATATTCAGTGCAAGGACATTTATCAGAAGGCAGACTGGAGGGGACAAGGCTCCTACAATGATCATTGTTTGATTTAGGAATTCTAAGGCTGAGAATTTATCCTAAAAAAAAAAAAAAAAAAAACCTAAAACAAAGAAAAACCAAAATGGCAAATAAAATATTTCCTGTAGCCTATTATTATGGAACAAGCAGATAGTCTTTGGAATCTGACCAGTCTGGGTTAGAACCCTGCCTGTGACTTCTTATCTTTGCTCTAGAGATATTTCCTAGCTTCTTGGTCTTAGATTCATCTCATCCAATGGAGTAAAAAGTGCCCTATGTCTCAGGACCATGCTGTAGAAAAGGGAAGATAAATACAGAGTACTAGAACAGCATGATGTACAGAATTTAGCAGGAATCGGGCCCTTAAGAAAGGATTCTTATTTCCAGGTTCCTGTATCCAGGAAGAAATTAGACAGAATCATCCATCTACTAGAGAACACTTTATGTAAATGATGGTAAGTTCCTCTGGAAGCCACTAAAGATAACACAAGGGCTGGGACAGAGGCTGGCTGTGGTAGCAAACACGCAATCCCAGCACTAAACAGGGAGGAACAACCAGAAGTTTAAGTCATACTTGGTTACATAGAAACTTCAAGAACAGATATCTAAAAAAAAAAAAAAAAAGAGTACACACACACACACACACACACACACAACTTGTATAACAGAAAATCTTATAGAGTAGATACCACAAGGCATACTGTGTATCTAAAACACATTACAATTATGCAGGGGAAGATATTTACCCAGAAAGATAAAATGGATAAGGTGCTTAGCACAGTGCCTGGCTACAGTCTACATTGTTAGAAAGTAATTCTCGGAGGCATGTGGTGGCACACACCTGTAATCTCAACAGGCAGAAAAAACAGTAAGTTCAAGGTTAGTCCGTGCCACATTGCCGGACACTGTCTCATCTCAAAAGAGAAAGAAAGACGGATCTGAGGTTTCGTAGAAGAACCTACAGCTATGCTTAGCTGACTAACAAGCACCAAACCACCTTCAGAAACCTTCTGACACCCACAGACCAAGGCTGCTGTCAGCTGTGAACAGGGAAGCCTCTCACCGTAAAGCAGTGAGCAGAAGTGATACACAGACCCCCTGGCTGCATGAGATACTGACTACAGGGCTGTTGGGAGCTCAGTGCTCACCAAGGCATTTATACACCCTCTTCAGACATGGTGAACATGGCAGAAGAAGAGGAGGAAAGGAGGCTGAGAGCCAGGAGATAGGAGGAGGGCCTTCAAAGGGCTATCTTCTCTAAGCACAGCACGGCCATAGCAGTCACACACTCACAGTAACTGGCTACTGACAGTCAGCCCCCAGCAGTCAGCTATGAAGAAGAAGGCTCACGGGCATCAGTGCTGCGTCTTTTGGCAAGTAACAGACTCTGGGAATGGAAAAGGCAAAGTACCCTGTTATATACCTGCTCATAAAGATAGCCCTAGTTAAACTCTGTAGGACACTAATAAAAACAAAAGCTAGTAAATACAGTTAAGATATTTGTAAGGGGGGCTGGAGAGATGGCTCAGTGGTTAAAAGCACTGGCTGCTCTTCTAGAGGACCTGCCTTCAATTCCCAGCAACCACATGGTGACTCACAACCATCTATAACGGGATCTGATGCCCTCTTCTGTCTGCATGCAGATGTATAGGAAGACAGAGCACTCATATACATAAATAAATAAATCTTTAAAAAAAGAAAAAAGATATTTGTAAGGAAAATGGTGGGAGGAACTAACAGGGGCAAGGGTAACCAGATGCACGCAAATATGTATGAAATCAACAAAGAACAAATGCTATTTTTAAAAAAGGTCTAGAGATTCACCTGACTGTGCCTCCCCAGCACTGGGATTACAGACAAATGCCACTGTCTCGAAATGTAAGTCCCGACCACTCAGACCCAGATCTTCATGCTCGGCTAGTAAGCACTTGGCTGAGCCATCTCCATAGCCCCAGATTTACTGCAAGGTAAAGCCAGAATCTTTGCAAGGAATGCTACAAAGTCATTGACTAAGCAAAACTCTCAAGTAAATATGGGATGGGGAAGAGGAAGAAACAGGTGACAGGAAATGTGGTTTCCATGAAGGTTCAAAATATTCAATAAAGCCAGGCAATGGTGGCATATGCCTTTAATCCCAGCACTCAGGAGGCAGAGGCAGGTGGATCTCTGTGCCAGTCTGGTCTACAGAGCCAGTTCCAGGGCACCCAGGCAACACAGAGAAGCACTGCCTGGAAAAAAAATAAAAATAATACTAAAGCCAGGTGTAGCAGCATATGTCTGTAATCTCAGCCCTTGGAGATGAAGACACAAGGATCATCTCTGGCTACATGCTACCATCTCAAAAAGAAAAGCAAAGGCAACCTCCCGATCTTTCTCGGGCTTCCTATACTGGCATGCATTCTCGCTAAATACAAAATACAAGGAAGAAAATTTCAAAAGGAAAAGAAATGTTCATAAAATGGAGGGAACCTATTTAACCCTTGTCTTTATATAAATCAGCCACGTGAAAAAGCATTCACTAGAGGGTACACGGAATCAGAAGAGTCATTGATAAAACTGTAACTTCCCTCCTGAGGTCTCTCTCCAGGTGGCTTAGAGGCCCATTTGCTAATGTCAATAAACATTTTGCTACAATGGAGCTTCTAGATTCTGGAAAACAGAAAATCAAGACCTCTGGGGTCTTCTGCATCACCAAATGAACTGTCAGCAGAGCTCCCACTGCAGCCCCGAAGCCTGTATTCTGGCTAGGGCTGCAGCATCCAAGACAGGAGACTCTCTTATGTGTCTCATAAGCAGCAGTGCTCAGCAGAGATGGGATGAATTGGCTCCACAAAGCAAGGACAACACTGCTTATCAGTTTCACTTTTAGGTCTTGGTGGATGTCTGCGGACCAGGCAATCTGGCAATGACGCAATGCCGTAACCACGTAACCACTAGCAGCCTTCCTGTGGTCTCCACTGCCTACTGACCACATCACTCTCCAGAGAATCAGTAAAAACATGTTTTAATTATCAGCCTGATTGCTTATAAACAAGGTGGTGAAAAATTAACTTCTCTAAACAGAGAGCATGCAAAAGGAGGGAGATTTTAAAATAAAATCCTGGGGTTAGAACTCAGCCCACAAACTTGAGGAAAGGGCTCAGGGAGGGAAAGCTGACCAGGCCCCTGTTTTTGCATGCACACCACATTTCAAGTGAGTGGCAACCGTCCCAGCCACTGTCCACTCCTCTCCCAGTCCAGCTGGCAGGAACACATGCTGGCATAGCAAGAGGCATGCCACAGGCACGTAAGTAAGTTCTCACCCAACACTGCAGCCAATCCTGGGCCTCAAGGCTCTCTCCGCCCCCGCCCCCCCAGTCCCTACAGAGGAGGAGGAAATAGCAGTATGCAGGGAGAATGCCTCACCTTGGCCGTCCTGTCTCTGGAGCCACTCACAATGATGCCCCCTTTGCAGTCCACACAGTTCACCTCCTGCTCATGAGCTGAGTATTTGACAGTGAAGGTGCTATGGAGCTTATGAACACCAATCTTCCCATCTCTACAAGAGAAGAAGGAGCCCATCCCCAGGAGTTAATGACTCTTTCTGTAGCAAGAGGGCCAGTCTACTGAAGCAGCCCACATGTCCAGCAATGATGACCAGATTTGCCAAGCATTCTGCAGTTTGGCCCACAAGGTGCTGAGTGTTAGATACCTTTACTTCTTCAGCACACTTGGGGCTAAACAGAGCTGAGAGAGAAAATAAACCTCCCCTCAGAGAGTATCAAACTTGCTCTACTTTGCATTAAAGGTTCTTCCTGTTTTCTTCTCTGGCTAACCCTATTAACAGCTTTTGGTAAATCTCTGCTTTAGGTGTTTAAAAAAAAAAAAAGCCTACCTTTTTAAGTTTCCTTCCTTATCCCTTTGCTGTTGAGCCAGAAAAGTCAGAAGCAGACACAGGTCCCTAAAGAACACTAAGGAAGACCCAGCACTTACCCTCCCGCACTGATGATATGGGAGTTTGCCAGCACAAAATGACAAACATCCTCATCGTGCCCAGCGAAGACTCTGAAGGGTCGACGGTGCAAGCTGGCACCATCTGGGCGGAACTGGTAGGCCAGGATGAAATTAGCCTGAGATATGTACAGAGAAGCATCCTCCAGCTGCATCCAAGGCATCTGACTGCAGAGAGGGACAAAAACAAAAAACAAAAAACAAAAAAACAAAATGTAAAACTGCTGCCTGTACTTCTCATAGAGAAGTTGAGGAGTCAGGGAAGTCAAAAGGAAATTTCTAGCCAGGTAAAGTGACCTCTGCATTGTAGCTAAGTCCAACTGGTAAGTTTCAAGGTTCCAAGATTCTGACATATACTCCTTGCTCAACAGATCAGTTAAGGTGTGATAGAGAAAGGTAAGTTTTAGGAAACCCCATTCCCTTGTTATTGGAGCAAAGAAACATTTATAAGTGAAAAGAATCCAGCCATTTAGAAAGTACGCAAACCTGCTCAAGAGATGCCTTGATCTTCCCAGGGATGTTGACATTCTGTAGTGGAGGCTACATGTGGTAACATAAAATAACTCCAAAGCATCGTGCTGCAGCTCAGGGGCTACAAAGAACTCAGCTCTCATAGCAACTGATGAGACATCCAGAGAAAGTTCTAGACCCTCTCTCCAATCTCCAAGAGAAAGAAAGCTTAAAAACCACCAGCCAATCCCATGGCGGGACTACAGTCTTAAGAAAAAAGATTTGCTGCAAATAGTGGCATACACCTGTAATTCCCAGGAGGAACAGGAGTTCAAGGCCATCTTTAGATGCATATGTAGGTCAAGGTCACCAGAGGCTACATTATAGGCTATGTCAAAAACCAAGGGTGTGTGTGAAAAAAAATAGAGAAGATGACAGGGAAGAGGAGGGAAGAGAAGAAGAGGAAAGGGAGGGGCACTCTACAAGACAACTAGGTTCTCTAGTGGGGACTAAGTCCCTTCCCCGAGACAGACATCCCACCTGTGCCAATCCTACCCAACAGTCCTGGAGCTACCAAGTCTCAAAAAATCAAAGGGAAAGCTGACTCATCGCCGTGGACAGACACCATAGCCCACTGCCAAGCCTGTCTGAGCAAACCGGGCTGTGTTTCTTTCCCAGTCTCCTTAAAACAAGCGTCATGGGAATGTGGAAAAGTTCTGCAAATTGACTTGCCGGGCCATTAAATGCAGCTTGGACTTTGTAGTAACTGAGTTTCTGCTTGTGCAGTTTTTACAAGAGTGTGCATATATTACATAGAACATGTGTAAAGTGTATGTATATGTCTGCATTCTTATCATTCACAATCCTCTTCAACATCTTTTTCACAATTATGTAGCACGTTCAAATGGGCAGCAAACAGAGAGGGCTAGAATTCATGTACTTACAACCATGTGGTGAACAGTCATTTACCTAGGACAAGAAACCAGGTTCATGCCAGGTGAACAGTGAAAAATCCTGGGGCAACCTGGTAACTGTTCTGTGTTTATTTGCCAGACTGCCTTAAATTAATGCCCTAACTGACAACGCCAGGAACAAGAACTTGATAGAGAAATTACTCTTTGATGTTAGGCACAAATGACGGGTGTGATGGCAGTGTGATCCTGCACTAAGGAGCTGAAGCACAAGCATGGCAAGCTCGAGGTCAGCCTGGGCTACAAAGGAGATCCTGCTTTTTAAGAAAACCACACCAGGTAAAGGGGGAAATTGGAAGGTAAAGCCTTTCATCATAAAAATCCATCTTTCTCTTTCATACCTTCTTTATCATAATACCACCACATAATTCACAAAAACTGACATCAGCCAAACCAGTAGAAACAGCACAAGCAAGACAAAGGGTCATTACGGTGGTGTGAATGAGAATGGTCCCCCCACACGCTCATACATTAGAATGTTTAGTCACCAGGGAGTGAAACTGTTTGAGAAGGATTAGAAAGATCAGGAGGTGTGGCCTTGCTGGAGTAGGTGTGGCCTTGCTGGAGTAGGTGTGGCCTTGCTGGAGTAGGTGTGGCCTTGTTGGAGTAGGTGTGGCCTTGCTGGAGTAGGTGTGGCCTTGCTGGAGTAGGTGTGGCCTTGCTGGAGGAAGTGTGTCACTGGGAATAGGCTTTGAAGTTTCAAAAGCCCAGCCCAGCCCCAGCCCCAGTCTCCCTCTCCTCTCCTCTCCTCTCCTCTCCTCTCCTCTCCTCTCCTCTCCTCTCCTCTCCTCTCCTCTCCTCTCCTCTCCTCTCCTCTCCTCTTCTCTCCCCTCCCCTCCCTTCCCCTCCCTTCTCCTCCCCTTCTCTCTCTCTCCCTCTCTCCCTCTCTCCCTCACCCCACCCCACCCCACCCCTGTCTCTTGCCTGCTGCCTGTGGATCAGCATGTAAAGCTCTCAGCTACTGATCTAGTGCCATGCCTATCTGCTTCCAGCCATGATGATCATGGACTAACTCTCTAAAACTGTAAGCAAGTCCCCAATTAAATGCTTTCTTTTATAAGAGTTGCTTTAGTCATGGTGTCTCTTCACAGCAATAGATCAACCACTAAGACAGTCACCAAAGGCAGAGGTGTACCTTATCTATCAGCACAGGGATGGGTCAGTCAGAATGAAAAGTCACAAAGCTCCCAATCCTCTGAACTCAACCAAGAAGCACTTTTTGGGTAAGGTGCCAGCCAAATAAAAATCATGAAGTGCTTTGACACTGATGAGGCTTCAGTGTGCTGTAACAATCATCAAAACTGTATGGCGCTGGGCTAAGGAGAAAGCTCACTGTTGAAAGCACTTCTGTACAAGCACGAAGGACTGATTTCAAATTTCCGGCACCTGTGTAAAGAGTCAGCTAGCACTGTGGGGTGAGGAGTGGAGACAGGAGGATCACTGAGACCTGACAGCTACTAGCCTAGCTCTAGATCCAGAGACCCTATCTCCAGGGATTATGATGGAGAGTGACAGAGCAGGGAACCTAACGTCCTCTCTTGGCCTCCAAGCACTATTTTTCATACTCACACACATAAATACACACCACATATACACACTGGCACTTTTTCTAAGTCCTAATTCACATATCTCTAATATCCCATTTTGCCTTTTAAAAAAAATTACATTTTCTTTCTTTACTTTGTATGTGTACAAAAGCATGCACATGTACGCCATGGAGCACGCATATAGAGTTCAGACGCTAACTTTCAAGAGTTGCTTCTCTCCATGTAGATCTCGGGGAATAAACTCGGGTTGTCAGGCTTTCCTCTGGAGCATCTTCCGATCTCCTATTTGCCTTCTACTAAATTAGAAAAAATGGAACTAGAAGTGTAGCTCAGTTGTGAAGCACCTGCCAAACATGGACTAGGTCCTGGTTTTGAGTCCAGCATCATGACCACAACCCTGCCTGCACCCCAAAATAAAACTCAATGAAGAAGAGTTTAATAGAACCCAAGAGGAGAATTAACTCCCTAGAGATAACATTTTAAAAATAACAACTGTAACTGAGAGGGCATAGTGGCTCATGCCTATTAATCCCAGCACTCAGGAGGCAGAAGATGGTGAATTCCCTCGGGAGGCAGAGGCAGGTGAATCTCGAAGTTCAAGGCCAGCCTGGTCTACAGAATTAGTTCCAGGACAGCAAGGACTACACAGAGAAACCCTGTCTCAAAAAAACAAAAACAAACTGCTGTGTGATGGTCTGTATGTCAAATGTGTTGCTCTGATTGGTCAATAAATAGCCATTAGCCAGGCAGGAAGTATAGGCGGGACTAACAGAGAGGAGAACTGGGAGAACAGGAAGGCAGAGGGAGACACTGCCAGCCACTGCCATGACAAGCAGCATGTGAAGATGCCGGTAAGCCACAAGCCACGTGGCAAGGTATAGATTTATAGAAATGGATTAACTTAAGATGTAAGAACTAGCCGGGCGGTGGTGGCGCACGCCTTTAATCCCAGCACTCGGGAGGCAGAGCCAGGCGGATCTCTGTGAGTTCGAGGCCAGCCTGGGCTACCAAGTGAGTTCCAGGAAAGGCACAAAGCTACACAGAGAAACCCTGTCTCGAAAAACCAAAAAAAAAAAAAAAAAAAAAAAAAAAAAAAAAAAAAAAAAGATGTAAGAACTAGATAGCTAGAAGCCTGAGCCATTAGGCCAAACAGTTTAAATAATATAAGCATCTGTGTGTTTATTTTAGAAGTGGGCTGTCGGACTGCTGGGGCTTGGCGGGACCTGGAGAGAAAACTCTCCAGCTACAACAAACAAAAAATTTATACACATAAAATAAAAACAAATAAGTCTTAAAAAAAAGAAAGAAAGAAAGATAGAAAGAAAGAAAGAAGGAAAGAAAGAAGAAAGAAAATCAAGAAGCTACTTGCCTACATCTCCACTTCAGCAGAATCCCCTCTCGGCAGCGCCCCAGTCTCCAGTTCTGAGACACCTTCACTCGGTCCTTTACTGGAATGCTGGTCATCCTAGGTCCAAACAGAACAAAGACCTCAATCACTATAACTCATTGCTAGTGGGAGAAGATTCTGTGACTGACTGAGTCAGGCCTTGGGAACATCCAGAATAGAACCAAATATAGGTTTAAGGGATTATGGGATCAGAAGTAATAACTCCTACCTCCATACTTGCTGGTCAAGAAATCCAAGCAGAAAAGTCTATCCTAAAACTACTACAAGTGTCTATGGTGATGTCAAAACAATCTAGTGAAAAACATGCAAAAGAGTGCTAGAGCCGATGAGACAGCTCCACAGGTAAGAAGCACTTGCCACAAAAGCCTTCTAACTTGAGTTTGATCCCTGTGGTAGAGGAAGAGAACTGACTCCCAGAAGTTGTCCTCTGACCTCCACACGTCATGTATGCACCTGCCCACATTCACACTGTGAGAACACACACACACACACACACACACACACACACACACACACACACACACACGATAGTACATGAGCCTGACATACTGCCTACTGCACTAAGAGGGTGAAATAATAATAAATTTTTTTTTAAATTTTCAAGTACTGAAACTCCTAGATATCCATATGAAAAAGATGAAACCTGCCTTACTCCTACCTCACACCAAACAGGAAAAGTTTAAATATAATAAACCTAAACACAAAATCTAAAATGTAAAGCTATTAGAATAAACTATATAAACGCATCTATTTGGGGAAAATGACACTTATCTATCTGGTGGGGGGGGGTAGGCAAAGTTTTCGTAGGACACAGCAAAAACATAAAAGAAAAAAGCTAATAAATTAGACTTATCAAAATTAAAAACTATGCCATCAAAATGAAGAACATAACAAGTATGCAAATGAAGAAATATTTCTCTCTTTACGCTTAAGTTAGCCTTGATTCAGTCTCCCTCAGCCCCAAGGGATGGGATTACAGGCAAGTACCACCATGCTTAGCCTCTATGTTCATACATCTTTAAAGGACCAATAAGAGTTTTCTATTTAATGATGGGAGAGAAAAAAAAATGGCACAGCCATTGTAGCAAAAGGTCTGGCAGGGGGTTATTTTATGTTTTTATGAGTATGAGTGGTCTTGCCTGCCTGCCTGCCTTCATATAGGTGTACCATGTTCATATCTGGTGCCTGAAAAGACCAAAGGGAACGTGAGATCCCCGGAACTGGAGATATGAACAGCTGTAAGCCACCATGTGGGTGCTGGGAACCAATGTTCAGTGTACAATTCTTTTCCATGTTTTAAACTTCTCATTTAAAAAATGTTGACTGAGTAATGGACGTTTGGATGAAGAGGGTACAGTAAGAGACAGGGGTGCACACCACCAGGAAAAGTGGCATAGTTCGGGGTGTGAAGATGGGGAAGAGTTCAAAGGCCTTTTGAGAGGACACTTTTAGCCAGAATTTTGAAATCCTGGGCAAGAATCTGAGAGTTCCATTTGAGGTGCCTGCCTATGTGTGTCTCCATGGCTTCAAACACTTGACCGCATAAGGTACACTGCTTGGAACACACAGTGGAAACTACTAGATCTGACTAGGAATTCACTGACCAAAGGAGAGACACACACATTTCTCTCTGTCTCTACTTACACCTTCATATATACCACCTATTACTAAAAGCCAACAAACAAAAGTCTGTTTCCAGAGCCTAACCAACACCTATTGAAAAGACAGCTTGGGCAAGCAGAAAGATGTCTAATCCATTTCAAGCTCTGGCCTTACTTATTTGTACAGAATAATCCTTCTGATCTGTAAAGTCATGAACGTATAGGACTGAATTTTAAAAAACACAGAGACACATAGCATAGGAGGTTAACAGTATGAAAATGAGTCCTCCCAATCCTCATCAAGGGTCCCTTCTTCCATTTGCCTTTCACTCAGCTTCCTCTAGGTTAATATCTTATTTAATCATGAGATATTTGTGCTTTTATATATTTTCCCTATTCTTCTACAATGTAATATTTAAAAAAGAAAAAAATGTCCCTTGAAGTTCTAAGCACTTGGACGCAGTGCAGTGGACATAGGTCGAGGGGCATCTCAGCAGTAGAATATATGCGCATTTGTAAGGCTCTGGGTTTAATCCTTAGTATAAAGGAAAAAATAAAAATAAATGATGCTGTTAACAAAACTGAATATGTACCGATAAAGCAAAAGCAAAAAAAAAAAAAAAAAAAAAAAAAAAAACTAATTTAGATGGCCATTTCATACTACAATATAGTAAATTCAAAAAAAAGGAAGTTGAGTTGGACATGATAACATAAGCCTATGATCTTAACACTCAAAAGGCAGGAGGATTTATTGTGAGTTCAAAGGTGGCCTGGATCATGCAGTGCGTTCCAGGTCAGTCGCACCTATATGCAAGATCTTGTCTCATCTCATCTCAAAAAAAAAGGGGGGGGATACATTTAAGATAGTTTAGGCAGAAGAAAATGAAATACACTCACACTCCAAAGAAAAGCAGAAACAAAATGTATGAATTATAAAGTGTGTAAGTTGATTCTATTAATCTTGAAATGCTAACAGAGGTGGGAAAAAGAAATTCAAAGGTAAACAACAGAGTCAGGGAAATTAACATTGTAAACACAAATTTCTTTCATCTGTACAATTTTTAGGGAATTGATAAAAATCTACCAAAACACCCATCTCTAGCATCCAGTTATCCATGTCCCACACAGCCTAAGAACAGTCACATGGGATTCACACAAAGAAACACTGAGAAAAGCATTCCTGAATACTAGTTTACAGAAACATACCTTAAAACAATTATTAAATACTGCCTCACATCTATTAAGTGGGAAAACCTGACAAGCCTTTGACTTTATAAGCACTTAGGTTTGGTTACACATTGCTGGTACTGTGTTCTGATCTTGAATTTCCACCATGAGCATTGTATTACAAACAAGTAACTCAAATGAAAAATACATTTTACAATGTCTGAGCTGGAAACGGCCCAAATGTTTGCCTGTAGGAGGGAAGAGCACACTAACACCACGGAACAGACCATGTACAACCACTAGAAACAACAAGTGTGAAGACTCCAAAGATGGAAATAGCTGTTGTACAATACTCAATGACAACTGTAAGACTAAGGAAAAATTACCATATAAAATTGTTTCCATAGATAACAGATTGGAAGATGTATATTAATGGTGCTTTAGGATGTGAACAAGTTTGTTTTGGTTTGGTTTTTCGAGACAGGGTTTCTCTGTGTAGCTTTGGAGCCTGTCCTGGAACTTGCTCTGTAGATCAGGCTGGCCTCGAACTCACAGAGATTTGCCTTGTTTGCGCCACCATTTTCTGGCCTCTATGTCTAATCTAGTGGTTGCTCTGTTCTCTGACCCCAGATAAGTTTATTAGAGTACACAATATATATCAACCACAAAGGTCATTGTAGATAATGTCCTTGATCATTTCTGCTCCTCTGGACTCACTTGCCAAGATTTTAAGGGGCCAGGTAGCTTACAATGGGTGCATGTTGTATTTTTTTGTTGTTGTTTTATTTTATTTTTTGGTTTTTTTGAGACAAGGTTTCTCTGTGTAGCTTTGGTGCCTGTCCTGGATCTCTCTCTGTGGACCAGGCTGCCCTCGAACTCACAGAGATCCACCTGGCTCTGCCTCCTGAGTGCTGGAATCAAAGGCGTTTGCCACCACCACCCGGCTGTTGTATTGTTTTTGTTTAAAATAGTTCATGCATCCAGGAATTCAGTGAAACTCTAAAGATGACTAAGTGCCTGAAAGCTGAGGTGGAGGGGAGCAAGTGGAAAAAGGAGCCTGAGGCAAGAGGAGGAGGGCTGGGAAAATGGCCGTTCAGCCATGCCCGTGGGCCATGTTAGAGATGTTTCCTTGCTTTAACAGCCATGGGGAGATTTACTTATAGGGCACTGATCGTGTTCTTTGAGAGGAGCACCCTCACTTTATATCAGTAACTGGAGAAATGGTTAGCCAGTGGCCTTTATAGTTTTCCATGGCACACCAGCCTCTGTCTTGTCAGGCACTTTTCTTCTGCCTGCTTCTACTCTCTCCCCTAGAGGATGGTGGTGCACGCCTTTAATCCCAGCACTTGGGAGGCAGAGATCCATCTGGATCTCTTTGAGTTCAAGGCCATACTGGGAACAGAGCCGGAGTGGTGGCACATGCCTTTAATCCCAGCACTTGAGATCTCTTGTCTTGCTTGGGAAGGACACATGCCTTTAATCCCAGGAAGTGATGGCAGGAAGCAGAGAGGTATATAAGGCATGAGGACCAGGAACTAGAGGCTGTTAAGCAGTTCAGCTGAGATCCATTCCAGTGAGGACTCAGTCTGAGGAAACAGGATCAGCTGAGGAGTTCTCGAGGTGAGGTTGGCTGCGGCTTGTTCTGTTTCTCTGATCTTTCAGCTTAAACCCCAATACCTGGCTGGGAGGGGGGTTATTATTAAGACCATTTAGCAACTTGTCTTACAGACCTTTTATTTCCCCTCTCCAATCTCACTCCCCCCAAATAAGCAAACCTAGTCTGAAGAATAATGGCTGGAGGGAGATGTGTGTGTGTTTGAGTATGCGTGTATGCATGTATGTGTGTGTGTGAATGTGCATGTATGTGTGCATGAGTAGGTATGTGTGTGTGTAAGATCCGAAGTCTACAGAATCTCCAGGATCAGAAAACTCCCAGAACACGGATCCCTCTCATCCTCATCCCATCTTGAAGCACCGCCTACTGAAGGCAAGGCTGATCTTTTGGAACTTGGGAAGAAGGAACAAATGTGGAACAAGGCCACTCACAGGCACTGAGCCTTCTAAATGTGGGACAAACACAAACTAATCCCAAGTCACGTGCATGATGAATCAGGAGGGATTCTGACAGTTCGTCCATGTTGCATTGTGTGACTTCACTGCAGCCTTGGTCTGAATACAGCATGTGATCTCTGGACTGGGCATGCCTTCATGTCACAGCAGCAATACCAACCATTGCTGCCTGGAGCATCTTGGCTCAAACGGAAGACTACTGCATGTTATGAACTGCAC